GAGTCAGGAAGGCCAGCCTCCAGCTCTTCAAGGGGGCCCTTTTGGACCTCCAGCCTGGATCCCAATACACCCCCCTGTCCATCTTTCTTCTTTGTCATTTGCCCTGCTGGTCACTACTAACTGGATGACTCTCTCCTTCTTTGCCGCCTCATCCCAGCTCACAGCACTGGCCATGGACCACGCGGAGTATTTGTGTCCACCCTGGGGAGGATTGCTGGGCTAGAAGGCGAGTGGTCTGGGCAAGTCTTTACACCGAGGTCCCTGGGGAGAGAGCTGGGGGGGTGGGGGGGGGACTTGAGCTGGGGCACCAGGGATGAGGGTAGGGACCTGGGCATGTTTGAGAGACACCTACCCACCCACCACACTTAGCACAGGCCAGAGCAGCAAGATGCTCTGTGAAAAAAAAAAGGGGGGGGAAAGATGTTCAGTGAACATCAAATGACTGAATGAGTAAATGAAGCCCCGAGAACTTTGGGGACCGCTCACGCAGCTCCTCTCCCATCAGATGAGGGGCTATGAGGCGGAGGGGAGTGGCTGCCCCCAATCGCTGCCCCTGAGGGGCAGGAAATGAGAGGGACCATGCCCTCACTGGGCATTATCTCATCTGAGCATTGGGAAGCAGCCCAGAGAGACGGTGTGACTTGTCCGAGGTTACACAGCAAACGAGGGGCAGTGCTCCTCTGCCCACACCAGGCCAGGTCTGGAAGGCACTACTGAGGGGGCTCCCAAGCCCCGGCCTTGGATTGCAGACCAAGATTGTCCTCTGGGTGACAAGTAGGTCAGACCTGATGGTTTGAGCCCCCCCCCGCCCCCCCCCCCACACACACTGCTCTTGTTGAATTGGCCTCCGTCCGCTGGCTGGTGGATTGAGGAGGTTTGAGGGGGTGGAGTATGGAGTTGGCCTGCTGGCCTGCTGAGCCCTGATGGGCTCTCTGAGAGAAGGAAAGGCCAAGGGGCCCAGGGCATCCAGGATAGACACCCGGGAAGAAGGCAGACCTGGGGATGGG